ATTAGGCAGGGCTTGGGGGAAAAGGACACAGTGCACAGGGGGCAGGTGGTGTGACGCCGACTTACGCTCCATCTCACGAATTACTTTGTTCAGTTCATTTTGCATCCAGTCCACCTTGCTCTCCATACACTCCCTGTCAATGTAGATCTCCTCAACCACATCTTTGGGCTCCTCAGTACCTAGGTAGAGAAACAAGCAGAGGTTGAGCCACTGGATGAACAAGCATGACTGTGTGGTTTGTTTTTTTCCATGGTTTAAATGTCCTTTTGACTCTTCATGGCCATGGCCATCAAGCCAGAGCTAGACAGCAGCTGGAGAAAGGAGCCAGCCACCAGTCTCAGGGAAAGAGGGTTTGCTGAATGCACTCACTTGCAATCACCTGCTCCAAGAAAGCTCTGTCATCCCTCAGGTCCTCAGCATCCTGCCTGCGACATGTCTTTGACTGGAAAGCTTCCAGGAAAGCCTGCTTCTGCTCTGCCTGCAGCAGGAGCGAGAGCCCCTGGGCAATGTCCTCCAGGCTTTCGTTCACCCAGACAAACTCCTCACCAGTACTTCGGGCTCGCAGGAACTTCTGGATCCAGCTGGTCTGGCTGTATTTCATCACCAGTTTCTGGGCATCCCCCAATGCCCGGAGCAGCTTTTTCATCAGTTCCTCTTCATGGTGGGAGATGTGATGTCGTGGCTGAGCCCTAAGGATCCTCACAGGCTCCAGCAGAATCTGGATGCGCTCCACGAGGCGCTGGCACTGGTGCCTACAGCACTTCACCTGCTCCAATTGGGCATAGATGACCTGGGCCACAGAGAGGACCCTCTCCACAACATCCATGCTTGCAGCAAAGGGCTTGGCCACTAGAGATGTGGGCTGGCAGTGTCTGGTGCAGGTAAGCCTCAGGTGCTGCTTGGAGCTCAGCTAGATGCAGCTCTTCCACGTCTTCCACCCTAAGGAACACCCTGATAAGGCACACATCCTCCCACAGCCCCTCAAATCTGTAGCTGCTTTGCTTTCCCTGCTTTGCCTGGCACTGCAGCTGCTTGTGCAGACTGGAGCAGGCACACACAGAGACATCAGGAACAGCGGTAGTGGCACGTCTTTCTCTGCATTAGCAAGAGATGTTTTGGCTTGATTTACGTACATTGATTGAATGTGAACCGTCCCAGAGAGCTTCCACCTAGAGGAGCAGGGACATCAGTGATCCATGGAGCATCCCCTGGGCAGTATTCCTGGCTTTGGCCCCATATCACCCTCGGTTCCTGCCCGCAGAGCCTGTATTTTTGGCTGTAAAGGTCTATTTTCATTTCTATCCAATGTCTCTCTCTGTGGTCACCCACCTAATAAAGGCTTGCACATCTTCACAGCCCCAGCATCCCCAGCTTCTCCACATTTTTTCCCCATAGCTCTGTTCTGCCCACTTAAGATTTTATATCAAGCTCTTTCTATGCATTCAGCATCCCCACAAGGATGGTGCCTGCTCCCCAGCCCACATACAGGTAGCAAGGACAGAAAACCACCCCTGTTGCAGGGAAATGAGCAGCAGCGCCTCTGATGCAGCCAGCACTAAGGGAGGGGTGCCAGGTTCTACTGTCTGGAAACGAGATGGAAACGCACCCAGAATTGAGCTGCAGCCACTCTCCCGTCCTCTTCAGGCTCTCTCCAGCACGGCCCTCAAGGAAAGATCTCGTCCACTTGCCAGGAAAAGCCCTCTGTTACCTGGTCCTTCTTCGCTGCCCTCGGTGCCTCGGCAGACTGGAGGGGCAGGGCAGGACGCGCGGGTTTAAAGGGTGTCACAGCGGAAGGGACATTGTGCAACCCCCCTTCCCACGCCATCACAGCTCCCAGTTCCCAGAAAGCTACTTGGGGCATTCCCAAGGGCTGTATGCCTTTGTGCTGGGTTTTGCCTGATGGAAGAAGAACTTGCCCACAGGAAGTGCAGTAGGAATAAGGGGAGAGGGAAGCTCTGCCTCCCTGTATTGATGCTTCTGCTATTTTGAGCACCACAACCCATTCTGTTTTGCTGGCAGCTGTGGGAAGGTTTGCCCAGGGCACTGGAACACCCACAGCAAGGGCTCTGTGCCCTGCTGAACTTACTGCATGTGCACTGAGACCTTCCAGAGCACAGCCCTGCTCCTCTCCCATCCCTGAGCCCCAGGAGCCCCCAGCATCAAAGGAGGTGGGCTGTGGGCACCCGTGCTGGAAACAGGGCTTGACCTCTGCTGGGAGCACAGGAAGTTTTGCAGATGGTTTCGTCAGAGGGACAGGCTGATTTGGGAAGTTCCGGGGCGCATATGATGCTATTGCCCAACTTCAGAGAAGTGAGTGGCACAGCCACTCAGCTTACCCAGAGCCCCGGCGTCACACAGATTTGCTGAAAATATTCCCTGCAATTCTCCTACCTCATGAGGTTCATGAGGGGAGCCAGGAATGGTGGCTCCAAGAGCCATCAGTACCTGGAAAGGGACACACATAGGGTGGGAGAACAGCCTTTTGAGCAGTCCTGGGGGGTACATTTGCCAGACCCTTTATAGAAAGCTTTATTTTTCAAAATATACAGTTTATTTACAATTGTAGTGTCTACAGTTTTACATATAAATTTATTTCAAACCTTTAAATATTTGCAGTAAACATTAGGGAAAAAATAATAAAAAATAAAATCACAGGATCAGCAAAAAAGGCATCTCATAGTAATTCTTTTCATTGTGTTTGAGTTTCAAGTAGCCAATGTCTATGAAAACCATGAACTTGATAAATCTGGCAGAGAGATATGGGTGTACTGGTTAGAAAAAGGCACAAACTAGAGCTGCAGGACCCACCCCAAAAGGGCTGCAGGCCAAAAAAAAACTGTGCTGAGATCGGGCCAGGAGAAGGACCTAGGTCAGGGAATCCCCTTGGCATGAGTTAGGCAATAGGGGTAACTGCAGCGTGTTGATGCCTTGGGGAGAGGGCACTCCAGGAGAGACAGGGGCTCTGGCAAAGTGCCAGGGCAGAGGAAGGAGGGCAGCATCAGGCACTTCATCTTTCAGGCAGCAGATTTGCCCGTGCATCCATAGCCTGGAGCAAAGGGCAGCGAGGCAGGGGCAGGAGTCCACCAGGGAACCCCACAGCTCCTCCTCCCCTTTCCTCACCATCCTCAGCCCCCCATCCCCTTGCCAGTGCCACAGCTGGAGCACAGCACTCCACAGGGATGCTCCACTTTGGAGTCACTGCTGTGGCACAGCCCCCAGGAAGGGGGCAGGGACCAGCTGGCCTCGCTGGGGGCTGTGGAGGGACACCAGCCCCAGTGCAGAGGGTATGGAGCCAGCAGCTGAGCACTGGGCTGGGGCTGTCAGTCCTCTTTCTTGAAGCTCTCCTCTGGGATGAGTGTCCGGAAAGGATAATCCCAGAAGCGTGTGCTGATGCCAAAACCTGTGGGCAGGGAAGCGAGAGTTCAGCCCACGTCACTGCCATCATCGGGGCGTTGCAAGGGCCCTGTTTTAACTGGTGAGGGAAGAGTGTCCATATTTTGGGAAGGGAGGGAGGCAAATTGAGGACAAGGAGGAAGAGCAGAGGGAGCAGTAGCTGGCTGGGCCATGCCAACAAGCCCCATGGATGATATCTTATGGGGCGTTTTCTCCTAGGAAGCCGGGCAAAGGGCAGGTTGAGTAAGCACTGGGCTAGAGAAAGTGTGGGGCGGATCTAGGGAAGCCCAGGGCCCCACCCTACAGCTGTCAACGTCTCCCAGCAGGAAGACACGCTGCCCTGGGCAGGGATAAGCACCCATATCCCAGCACTATGGGGGTTTGGCTTCTGCCCTGGCATTCCAGGCAGCACTGATGCCCACCAGTGAGATGGGCTGCTGCCTTCACCCTTGTGCTGCACTGGCTCCCCATCCTCAACCTGGGAGCCAGGAAACATTCTCCGTGGGCTACAGCACCTCACATGCTGCTTCCCCAGCAGTGCAGTGCTTGTCTTTCCTCATCCCAAATCCCAAACATTTTGGAGCAGTCAGCTGCACACATGCAGGTACACCGGATTTTTGACAGCCCTTGCCCCTGCCAGCACACACAGAAAACACGGCACTACCTGATTTTTGGTGTTCAAAGTGGTGCTTGACGTGATAAGCCTTCAGGCCATACAGGTAGGTGCCCTTTTTGGGTGAGCCGTAGTGGAGGTAATAGTGCATCATGTCGTAGATGACGTAGCCGCAGAGCCCCCCGACGAACACCGAGAGCCCCAGCACCTCGGGCAGCAGGAGCCGCAGGACACCGTAGAAGAAGCCGATCACCAGCGAGGCTGGCACAGGAGGGAAGACCAGGCGGGAGCTGTCGAAGGGAGACTGGAAGCAGAGAGGATGGTGGGACAGGCAGCTCCTAGCTCACCCTACCTCCCCCAGCACATTCCTGCCAAGAATCGGGGAAACCCATTCGGGAGAAGCCAACACCAAAACCCTCCCCAAAGTCGTACCCGGTGGAGAGAGCAGCCCCCCATGTGTGCCAAGGTGCCCAGGCAGGTGGTGGCTTTATCTGGCAGGTGCTCAAGCTCCACAGGGCCATTTCCTCCAGCAAAACTAGAGGGAGCCTATGGCTCTTTTGGTCTTCCCCCTTGCCCAACCACACAGCTTGAAAATTTAACTCCAGCTCCTCCAAGGCCGTTTTGCAGCCCTCGCTGGTATTGGGTAAGTGCCTTGTTGGGATGCCACCAGTCACACTGAACGGGCAGAAATAGGCTCTGCCTGGGCAAAGGCCACGCAGTAACAGGCTCCAGTGGGACAAAGGCCACCATTCCCACAGCCCAGCAGGTGCCAGCAGAGGCGGGAGCTGTGACTCACCTTGTGATGCTGCCCATGCAGCAAGAAATGCAGGGTGATGAGATAGTAATTACTAGCGGGTGGCTTCATGTGGAAGACAAAGCGATGGATGAGGTACTCTAGCAGGGACCACAGGATCATTCCAATGAGGAAGATGAAGGGGAAGTAGTATTTGTGGACAGGGATGGAGTACTCTACACAACAAGACGTGCAGCAGTCAGCAGGGCAGGCAACATGCAGGTGCTTTTATCCATCACATCCTCCCACTGGCATCAGGATGATGCTCAGCTCTTTCTCCCTCCCACTTCTCATCCATCTCCTGCCCTGAGCTTCTCTAGGGAGCTAACTGCCCAAGCACTGCTCTAAACCACATTTTCCTGCAATTCCTATTAATTTACAGAAACAGTCAGCTTCTTGCTCTCTCTTGCTGTCACTCTTGCCAGTGAGAGGAGCTCCCTACATTCCAGATGCCAACGGGGGCTTGGATGTGCACTCCAGGGACTGCATCATCATTACAAATCTGCTTCACCCACCAGAACAAGGCAGGAGGGACCTTAGTGCCGCACATACAGCACTCGTGACAGTGAAACAGTGCTATTGGTGTTGGTGTTTATTTTTGGGGGGGAAAAAGAATAGATTTGTTGGGCACTTTCCCCCGCAGAACATTTTTCAGCCACCTCCTTCAGGGCTGGCTGCCAGTCCTGTGTCCTTCCTAGCAAAATTTGGATTCCCCCAAAACTCGCTTATTTTTAGGAAAAAAAAACCACAAAACTTGGCAGCAAGGTGCTGAATCCCATATGGAGCAGGGGGTGCCCGTGGAGCGGGCACTCCTCACCCCACAGCCGGGCACAGCTGGCACTGCATGGCACCTTGCAAAAAAAATAGGGAACCCAGCAAAAAAGAAAAAAAAAAAAAAAGAAGAAGAAAAAAAAAAAAAAGACAACAAAGAAGACAGCCTGCCCCGGCCACGCTTGTTATTCCCGGGGGAGCAGGGAGCAGACAGTGGGAGATTCAAGGGCAGGCGCTTCGGGCAAACAAGCCTCGCACTGTGAGGCGCCGGCAGCGCTGAGAGCCGGGTTTGTTCAGCCTGGCCCGGGGTGGGCGGCAGCGGCGATTGAACACACCCCAGCACCCGCAGGGCTCGGCTCTGCGGATGGAGAACGGAGGCGAGAGGGAGCAGAGCGCAGGTCAGCGAGCTCTGTGCCTCTGCTGAGCTCCTGGGGGGACCAAAGCTTGTTAGAGGGGGGGATGGAGGTGGGCAAGCACAGGTGGCTTCATGCAGGGGACACGCTGGTGGCCACAAAGGAGAGGTGCTGACCTGCTGCTGTGGGGAACACGTACAGAAGGAGAGATGAGGAGGAAGGGACGCAGGTCTCAGCCCACCCAGGGCTGTCCTGCCCCTGGACCCAGATTACTGACCTGGGTCAGTAATGGGCGCCCAAAGGCTTTGCTGCTGCTCGTACCTGTGGTGAAGGAAGAGAAGAGCCTGGTGTTGCCCTGGGCAAGGGAGGTGTAGCTGACCCAGCTGAGATAGAGCACCACGGGTGTCCATACCATGAACACCACGTACCTGTGGGGTAGAAGGACACGTCAGAGGAAGTGTCCTGCTGGCTGGTGAGCCATCCCCTCTCCCTGGGCAGGCACCATCCAGGGCATAGTGCATCCCTGAGAACTCACCATGCTGTCTTGGAGAGGAATTCAAGGAAATCCGAGTGGAAGAGGCGGATGGGCCGATCCACAGGCTGGTGCACCCACTCGTCGTACTTCTCCCCTAAGTAGCCCACCTGCCACAGCAAGGGCTTCTGCCAGTCTACCAGGTCCTGAGGGAGCAGACAGTGGTTGTAGTGCTGTGGAACCCACAGGCCATCCCAGTACCAGGCACAAAGCTGAGCTGCTGCTGCAGGATTTCAGGCTGTAAACTCCTTCCCATATCCCAAGAGCAGTTACTTCTGTTTCCAAGGTGCCCTGAGCTCCCCACAAGCATCAGCACAGGGCAAACAAGGGGTCAAACACACACTAGCCCCATCTACCCACAAA